ATCTCCAAAGTCTGAGGAGTAACACTTGCACCCTAGAAAGTGCTGTAGGCTGATGATGTGGAAATTGTTTTCCATTAGAACACAATAAAAACAGATTCTCATGCTTGTAAGTTTTATCAGACCACGTTTGACTAATCTGACCTTTACTTTTATGTGGATGCACTTCCATCACTCTAATAACTAGCATATAGGATTTACTAAGCCTCCATTAATCCAGTTATACAGTTGCTTCAGATCATTTTGAGTAGCTTGCCCTCTACAACTTGAAGTAGTCCAGAATAGTTTGTCAGTGTTTTGCTATGAAAACTTTGGCCACCTTCTTCCAACCTCTTGTAAAGTAGTGGTTTACTCCATAAGTGTTTCTGTTGATTCTGGTGGACAGTTCAAGGTAAAGGGCAGCATTCCCTGTGTGCAAGTATGGCTAAAACTGACTATAGCCAAATTTTGTTAACATAAAATTGGTATCTCTAGAGCAGGGGTCAGCAACCTCCTGGCACACATACCAGTGTATGGCATGTGAAGACATTTTGCTTGGCACGCCAGCCCTTGGGGCAGATAGAGGGGGAGCTACAAGGGGCCTGATCCTTCTTGTGGCAGTGCAGCTCTGGCTGCTTCCCTGATGTCCACCCCAAGGCACACATGTACTCACTGTCAGCTGTTACCAGATTTGCCCGTCACTTTGGGGTGGACTCATTTATTAAGGGTGTGTTTCTGGGGTCTCTATTTCTATCATTGCACTGCTTGTGTTACTTCTGTTTCTATATGGAGCTCCCTTCTGCAAGTCCTCACCCCAATGGAGCTATCTTGCAGGACTCGGTTTCAATGGGGCTGGATTCCTCCAGCCACCAAATCAGTCAAGTGCATACACACATGCACACAGATTAATGTAACATGCCTGACCTGGCTGGGTTGATCAGCATGTACAGGCTGACACCCTCATATGCCAGGAATCAGTTCATTAAGGTAACAATAAAATGCAGTCAGACACAAGCACACAGGTGAACAGAATCCCTCTGAATCAGGCTGGGTGTCCAGCTGACACTCATGGGCAGGCATTCATTTCATTAGGGCACGTCTGAGCCAAATGGGGTCAACTAGCTTATACAAGCTGATCTCCTTATGTGTCTCAAACTCAGCACATCCCAATCTTTTGCCCTAACTATCCTAGTAGTGGTAGCCTCTTGATGAGTGGACCCCCACAGTATCTTTGAGCTTTACAGGGATCTTTGGCTTAGGTAAAGAAGTGTTGCTGCAGAGCAAGTGGGGAAGGAAAAATACACCTGGTTTCCACCAGTTTGACTATAGAAGTTATTTATTGCTAAGTATATAAAATTTATTATGGTACTAGTAGTAATAGCCATGCAAGGAAAAACAAACACAAATAATTACAATATTACTCTGGTTCAGTTGAGTATTTGGGGAATATGGATTAAGCCTCATGCTTAATTAATAAAATTCAGGTTCAGAAAGCCATGCCTAGAGAGAGAGAGCGAGCTGGGATCTCACCATTTCAAGGCACTCAGGGTGTTTTGTTGACAGGCAAAGTTCCTAGCACAATTGGGGAAAGTTAAATGGGCAACCAACAGAGTATCTGTTTATCCCAGTTTCTTGAGAACAACAGCGGATGGTGTCAGAGAGATTTCTCCCTCTTGAAATGTACGATTTGCTGCTTTACAGCTTTCTTATACCCTTAGTCCAGCCTCTTCAAAGCAGTCTTTCAATTGTGTAAATCAAGAGAGTCCCAAGCCGTAATTGACTGGGGAAATCCTGTTATTTAAACAGGTTCAATTTAAATGAATTACCTCTTTCATGGACAAGGGGTTATCTGGTTTAGAATGTCCCAAGAGACTGATTAACAACAACCAGGAAAAACATAAGGTTTTAAAGAGTAACCAGACACCTAGGAGCCGGTTTGAAATTATGATGAATATAGAAGATAAACTGGAAGGGATACCACATTATTTCTTCTCAGATGGCCTAACTATGCTTGCACTGTGAAGTCAGCATCTGTGTTTTGTATTTTACCTGTTGTGAATAAGCCTCAGCTTAGCAAGACTTTCAAATCTTACTGTAGTCTTTTACTGGTGCCTTGATTTGGTCTGTTTTCTAAAACAGGAAATCCCAAGGGCACGTGGAAGAGACTTAAGGTGGTCATAAACTTTGTGGGGAGGACTTCCACCAGTCATCCCAGGAAAAGTATGACAGCATTTGTCATCAGGGCTCCAATGGGCTGAACATTGTGATGAACACTTAACCATTGTTCAGATGTCACCCATATCCCCTCTGCCTCCGTCTCTTGCCTCAGCATTCCCTAACCCTAATTGAGTTTTAGTCAATCAAGTTTAAATAGACCTTTCATAGTGGGACCAGGGAATGTATGGCCCAAGATGCCCATTAAACTTTTCTTCTCCTTAGTTCTGGTTAGGTGAGGTGTGGGGGAGGAGGGCAAGAGAAAGTTAGATGAGGTGTGGGAGAGGAGGGAAAGAAAAAGTCCTTTGTAAGTCCAGCAATCTGGGTGCCAGGGTTCCCTCAAGAACACCGAGCTGACAGGTAACACAGCAATGAGCAGGGCCATGGCTCCGCGGACCCCAGTGCAGCTGCTTGCAGCCCTGCCTGCCACAGCTGGCCCAGACACCCCGTGTGGAGCCCAGGCTGCTTGCAGCAGGGAGGGCTGCACTGAGGTCCATGGAGGCCCAGCCTAGCTGGCAGGTGCACACACTTTGGGGTGGACTCTGGGGAAGGGGCTAGAGTTGTACTGCCACAAAAAGGATCAGGCCCCTTGTAGCCCCCTCGTTGTCTGCACACCAGCATCTTACAAGTTGACATTGTGGGTTTTTTTGGCATTCTGCCCAAAACCATTGCTGACCCGTGCTCTAGAGCTTGCTTGGATGACTGCACAAATGCTTTTGTCCATTACATCAGCATTCTGATGCCTCAATTTTGGGAAAAGATACCATAGTTTCTATCCCATTTTAACAAATGGATAAACTGTATTTCATCTTAAATAAAGCCCTCGATTTAAACAAAATCTTCCATTTCTTTTATTTAATGGGTTTGGAACGAAATCCATCAAACAGACTTGCAGAAGCATATTTTTACTTGCTAATGAGCTTCATCCAAGACTTGGTAATTCCATGAAGAGAACTGGAATAACTGTGGGGTTTAAGTGAAACTGTAGAAATAACAAGAAATTCTAGGCTTTTAAAAGTCATCTTGTATTCATTTTAGGTTTTCTGCTTAAAGTGGTAGCGTGCTTTTCCTTTCATAGTATTTGTTTGGCTGGAAGGGAAGATTTGTGTTGTAGTCAGATGGCTTACTATTTGGTTAAATTATACCCGTGGTTTGGGACTATGAGGAGTGGTCTTTGGAGTGCCCTGGGAGCACATGATTGCCTTGAGCCCTGCTGGAGGGGCAGACTCAAGGCAGAGCAAGTGCAGAGTCTGGACTAGGGAGAAACGGGTGACGCTGGCCCGTGGCCCAACAGACAGTGACAGTGACATTGCAGTGACATCTGCGAGGGATGGGATGTGGTGTAGGAGCAGGTGGAACCACCTAGTTAACCCTTTAAGGGTTACCAGGGCCCTGGGGCACAGATAGGCAGAGAGCACCCACTCAGCTCAGGAGTGGAGTCAAGGTCAGCGGTGTTCAGGAGGGACCTGCTGGCTGGTGGATAAAGTAAGGCTCACTCTAGGACTCTCACGGCAGCCTCCCTTTCAATCCAATAATTACATCGAGGTGTGGTGGGCAAGATGGAGGGAAGGCTACCCTAGAGGCAGAGCAGGGTATGGGTTATGGGGCCACCATTATTGCCACCCCTGGGACTCCAGTGTGCTACAGACAAAAAGCATTGCATCGTGCCATGTGATGAAAACATTTTTTCCTCTAAACAAATTCAGTGAGAGGTTTTCCAAATACAGTATCAAATTCCTGGTGTTGCTCAGTTACATTAAAAAGGTTTATTGTGATCAAACATTTTAAAGAAACTCTTCATTGAAAATCTAATTAGCTTTCAGAAAAACAAATTGCAAGTCCCAAGAGATTTGCATCTACATGAGTCCTCCTGACAACTTCATTTATAAAAAAGAGAAATACAATTGTAAATATTTTGTTTCCTGTTGCTGTTTGTTTGGATTTGTTAAGCAATAGAAGCCGTGAAATCTAGTGTTGCCAAATGCATAAACCATAAATAAGGTTTCTTTAAATTTGTCTCTGTAACATTTTCAGAGTTGATCGAGTTAAACTGAAGTCATTTTGTATGGAGATTTTTTTTTTTTATTTAAACACATACAACTAGCCCAGTGGCATATCTTAATGGCTAACTATAATCCTAGAAAAAACAGCAGCTTTGACAGCAAAGTGTCTGAACAAAAAAAAATTGTAATTCAAAGCCAAATATTTCTTTTAACTCTGAAAAATAAAATGGAAACTTCATGTGCCCAAGTCTCAGTTCAAAAGAAGGCTGAGTTATAGTTCCCTGATAATAATCTTTGAAAGTGCAATATGTATTTCTAAACAGAGTCCAGTGACATTAGAAGGTATGGTAATTTTGCAAGAAAACTTAAATCCCGATAGGAAACTATTTTAGCAAATTATATCAACTTTAACTAGATCAGACTAACTAAACCTATAGCATACCAAAGTCAATGGTGCATTTTGTAGGTTTACCCTTTTGGGTCAAATTGTGGAATTATTACCTCAATTCGTAGGCCAGTCCACTGAGGTTCTGAGCATGTTTTAAGAAATGTAAACTGCTGTCATCTCTCATCATCACAGAAGTTGATATTTGTTTGCAGGATTGCATCTAATGAAGTTGTCTCTCCTTTTTTAAAAAAAACCTCATGTTGCAATTTCATATTAAAAAGATTCCAGAACAGTCGTGTTCTAAAACATAGATGAAGTTACTATACTACTTCCTCAAACGTTTGGCTTATTAAAGAAAATAGCAGTATATGTGCTTCCTATACAATGAAAATCTCAGCAGATTGTTCTAATTAATCTCTTCCCAGATGACATTGTGAGCATATGAATGACAGGAGAGGACTCCTAGCTGCTTCTGTAATTTCCATCCAGAACTCCTGTTTTGTGTATCCGTCTTGTCAGAACTGCTTTTCTAAGCTGATTTTAGATTCCACAAGGTAAGTCCATCTTGGAGGGCCATTGCTAAACATTAATTTGAAAAGCGCCTAGCACTGTTTGGGTGCTATTAATTAGTGACCTATGTATAGTTGTTAAAAAAATTGCAAGTTTTAGAATTGTGCTGGACGGCCTGAGTAATCAGATGAATGATGTAATAAGATATAATACTATTAGTATTATAATGGCACCTACAGTACATTTGAATTAATTCTCCATTCCAAGAGTACATACAGATGTTCAGGGAAGTTAGGGAAAGTTTAGATTGCAATAAAAATAGCAGTCCAATCTAGTTTAGTTCACTCCGATGCAGACCTTACATACAGATTCATAGTTAAGTGAATCTAAGTGCAAACTGTACAGAAATTCAGGAAGGCTAGATTAGTCTAAAATTGGCTGGCCTGATCCAATTCAGCTCTACCTCCAAGGTAGTTTACTTAGATCAGGTCTGGCAAGACTGATCTAACTGAACTCCCAGCACAACCTGTGTCTGAGAGCCTAGCTTCTGGCCCCAGCCCCAGGGCTGTGGTTTTCCTATGACTCCCGCCCCCTGGAACCAGACTATCTTTAGCCTCTGGCGTCTCCCCCAGACAGACATCCTCCCAGCTGGATATCTCAGTTTTTCTTCCCCTTTCATAGATTCATAGATGTTAGGGTTGGAAGGGACCTCAATAGATCATTGAGTCTGACCCCCTTTGCTCCTCCCCGTGAACCCTACTTGCTCCTATGACCCACCTCACAGACCCCACTTGTCATTGTCGTCGTATCCATCCCCATCTCCCAGATCCTCCCCTCAGATTCCGCTTGCCCTTTCCTCCCCCAATTCAATCAGGCCCCCCTGCTAGCCCCCCCATCCTGACTTACCTTATATCAGGTGGCCACTTTTAATACAAACCAAAACAATCAGGAAAAAAACCCCAACACCACCCCATGGAAAGTGCATTTTCTACTTAGCCACCCCTCCTTTGCACTGCTGCTGTCATCACTGCCACCAGCTCCTCCTCCAGGCTGCTCAATGGGGCAGCAGTGGCAGTAGAGAGGAGCTGCAGGGCAGCCTGGGCACAGGCTGTAGGAGGCCACAGCAAGAAGGGCCTGACAGCAGCAAGGGGAAGGTGGCCAATTTTTTTTTTCCCCCCTCCCAGCAGCAGCTTCTGCCTAGCTACGGCCACTGCCACCACTGCTCAAGATGGTGCAGGTGGGACCAGAGCTGGTGCAGGGCAGGCCAGGGTCAGGGCTGTGCACATAGGTCCCGGCTGGTCTGGAGCTGGTCTGCTCCAACCATGGTGAGTCCAGAGTGAGTGCAGGGTAGGCCTGGGCCAGGATCAGGGCTGTGTGCTCAGCTGCTGGTGGCAGTGGTGGGGAGGAGCTGCTGGGCGTGCAAGTTCCAGGCTGTTTCAGGTGGCGGGGGGAGGAAGTGTGCTGCAACAGTTCCCCAAAACTATCTGTGTGGCCCGCTGGCCCAAATAATTGCCCACCTCTGCTATAAGCGAATTAAGCAGAGTTTAGTGTACAAACACTAGTTGTGGAACAGACTATTTTATATGGTGCCTAGTGTAAGAGGAAGACTAATGATTATGAGGCAGAGGAGAGGTGCTAAGTAAACAGTACACTTTCTGTGGGGCCCCCTTGAGTGCCAATTCACAAGTGCCTTTCTAATGCCCTGAGGCACTGTGACCTAATCCAGCAGCTGTACAGACGGTGGCATGGGTTTTCTTCTGGACTGTGGTGTCGGTGTTTTTTTCTGTCTGTTTTGGTTTGTAGGTTTGGTTTTTTTTAATGCAGTTCTTACACCCTTCCAAATTCCCAATTTCTGCAACTGCAGACAATATCATCCCTTTCTCCTAATCCTCTGGAGGCCTCCCTTGCCACTTGTCCAGAGTGTGCCTAAACATTTCCCTTTCCTCTTTCGCAACATTTCATCAAATGTACAATCAAACCCATGATGCAGAGACTGAAGGGTATTCAGAGAGCCAATATCACAAGTGCTAAATCAAGAGCTGGATTTATAAAGCTGGATATCACTGTAGTTTGAGAAAGAGAGATGCAGAAGTTTTCAAATGCTTGAGGAGGTTTTTGTTTCCCATCTGGTTTATCCAGTATGCTAGATACTGCAATAAATATACAAGAAGAAGTAATTCCGCAATACATTAACATAAAAATAAACTGCTGTGCCAGGAGTTTCAAAGCCAAATTGCTCTTCCTCCAAAAAAACCGTATAAAGGACCTTCCCTTTCCCAGGCCCCTGGCAGGCTTGTGTTTAAATAGTAAAAGAGATTCGTTGACACTAATGGGACCCTGCGTAGATGTGGGAACGTGGAATTGGAGGTTTTCTGTGCCATAGAGTCCAGTGCACTGCCTTTTGTAGTCAGCTGCTTGTCAGAAGGGTCCACGAAAGCTGCCTTTTCACATCCTGCAGCCACAAAACACCCCGTGGAGGAAAATGCCTATAATGAATCAAAAGGAAGGAGCAGAGGAGACGACAGTGTTATCAATGCCTTGGGCACCATGAAGTTTATTAGGTATATGCTTAGCTGGTCCTAAGGGGAGGACCAGGCACTAACCAACAGAGAAGGACACCATGGTCCTTACTAAACTGACCTGGGGGGAAAATTCCTTCCTGCCCCAAATATGGTAATTTGTTTGGAGTCTGAGCAGCCAGATATTTGATAGGTTTCTAAGAACCAATATGAAACTAATGCATGCCAGCCCACCACCCAGCTAGGCAGGCACCAGAAGAAAGAAAAAAATCAGAAGCAAAGCCAAATAAAGCTTTTAGTTTGGTTTTTGCAGAAGAACTGGGGGGGACCTTCTTCCCTGGCCCCACAGGCAAAAAGCAGAAGACTTAGCGCATGGGATTATCAGAAATCTCCTGCATGGAAATTGAGTGGTGGTTTGGTTTGTTTTCTACCTCCATAATTCTTGGTGGGGCCAAATATTCAAATGCATATATCATATGTACTTATCGTTCCAAAGACATTCCTATCCTGTTATACTATCCATTCCATAATCTTGAAGCAGTCTGGGTTCTTTCCCCACATTGTTCAGAAGATGATTCCAAAACATTGCTTCTCCGTGTGTTAGAAACCTCTTTGTAATTTCCAGTTTTTCATTACCAACTTGAAGCTATTTGATTGTACTGGTGTTTCTCTTTAACTTAGATGGCTCTTCTTCCTCCCTAATATTCACTTCACTAACATATTTTCAAAAAGTAATTAAATGCCCACACAAACTTTATTTTGCTAAGCTAAACAAACCAAGCTGTTTTAAACTCCTCTTGTAAGGTAGGCTCTCCATTCCTGTAACTATCCTAGTAGCCTTTATATCTGTTCCAATTTATATCAGTCCTGGTGATCAGAACTGTATCCAGTGTTCTACATGGGGAGTCTACACTTGCTGAGCTCATAGAAGTTTTGGGGCCTTTAAGTGCAAAGATTAAGAGAAAACTGTAACCTTCTGAGGTTTGATGTGCTGGGATGTGCACAGATGTAACACCTAGGGTGCCTATATACATGCAGAGAGGCTGGGCCAATGCATTTGAATTGCAACATGTTGGAGCATGATAATTACTGTGTTCCAGCAGATTCCAGCGTCATGTGTATCAGTGTCTTTGCTCTGAAAAATGGCGGTGGGGGTGTTTTAACTAAAGCTGGTTTGACAAGCTTTAATTAAAACGCCCCCATCGCCATTTTTTAGTGTGGGGACGCTGATACACGTGATACTCCGAGCACTTTTAATTAGAGCAGCTCCAAGAGCTGCTCTAATTAAAGCGCTTCCCTCCATACCCTGCAAACTTCCAGATCACATCTATAAACGCCCTTAGTGTTTTAAACCGAAGAGTCTAAACATGTGCAACTTAAGACCAGTTTACATTTCCTGGAACACTTCAGAAGCATGCTGGGAAAATCAAGTAATTCTTCAAGTCAGTCCTTCAGGTGTTAGTTCAGTGTGTGGACATTGAGCATCCCATGCTTACTTAGTGTCTGGTCAGCCCTCCAGCCATCCCAAATACCTGCAGAGCAAAGGGACTGCTCTGAAATGAAGCCAGGACTCTACTCCCCCTAGTGGCGTTCTGGCAGCAATGCAGTTCCTAAAAAACACCAAGTCTATTTAGAACGTTAGTAGCATACGTGTAGACACTTGCAAACCAGTTCCCAATCAGTGACATTCTTGGACCAGTTCAGGAGTGGTGTCTGTCCACACCCTTGGTGAGATTTAATGCAGATTAAAAGCTCTTGCAACTGCACCAATTAACAAATGATACTATGGGACCATTACTTGCTGTTGAAGTCAGTCAGTCACTATTTGCTTCTTTTTTTTTCTTCAGGTTTAACTGTCTAAAATGCGGCTGTGCAGGTGAAGCTAAGGATGCAAACTACAGATATAGACTCTCCCTAAAAGTAGCTGATGCTAATGATCTGTTTCACATTACTGTATTTGGAACCTGCTTGGATCCATTCTTTGGGATCACAGCAGGAAGATTGCAGAGGTAATGGGATGCTTTTTAAAAAAAACTATATAGCTGCCTTTCATTCAGCCCTACAGTCTGGAGGGAGAGACCATCAAATGAATGGGTTCAAAATGTTTCAGAACTTTTAGTCAATTTGATTTCCGTGCAGTATTCTTCACTTGTTGGTAAAAATTGGATCTGTGTAAATGTTGACTTATTTGTAGGAAAATATTACCTTGTACTAGCATTGTTTAGCATCTCTTAGCCTGGTAAAAAGCTTAAATTGGGACATTAAAGATCTGAGTAGGAGACCAAATGTTATGTAGTCCTGCTGCTTAATTAGTCTCCTAAGAAGCCAAATTAAGCATTTGGGAAGACCTGGTTATAAAAGCATTTAGTGTTTCAGTTTGTTGCTCCTTTATTGTTATGATGACAAGCTGCAGAGGTGCCAAAGAAGAGATTCTTCAGGTGTTCCCAGTAAGTTTCACAGTGTATTTGAGGTTTGGTCCCTCTGTCCATTTGTCCTCATATATCCATTCATGGTCTCATGGCAGATGTTCACTAATAATGTTTTCCTCCAAGCTTGGACACAGATTTTCCTCCTCACTCAAGGTGTGGAGAGCATGTGCCTGTCTGTGTTCAGTGCCTGGATATTTGGAACCCTTTCAAAAGGGGAGCATTCCGAAAGGGCAGCAGCTGTTACATTTTGATTGTTGTGTATGAACTGATAGAGAATGATATAATGATTGTTATGGATGAAGGAGCCAAGAATGATACAAATGTAGCAAAATACTTCTTGAAGTGAACATATGGAAGATATTGAATTCAGCCATCTGAAATGGAAACTGTACAACATGAAAAAGAAAGAAGCCAGACTCAACAGCGACATATATTTTATAAGCCTTTGCAAGAAACACAACTTCATTCCCCGAGGACTAAACATCTACAATCCCCTGACTACTACACACAACTCCAAATATGCTGCACAGCTATGCAGAAGAACTTCAGAGAAAATTAGAAATCATCTACTTCACCTACTCTACTCCAAAAGAGACCAGCTCAGGAAGGAAATCGTCATACACTACAACAACGTAAAAGATAGAAATCCATGCATGTTCCCTGACAATATACAGCGGATACAAAGAGACTACGAAAAACTTTCTACAGCATTCATCCTACATAAAAAGAAGAAATGGAACAAAGTACTCCAAGAACAAGCTCCCCA